CCTGCAGGGTTTTTGGGTCTCCAGTAGCTGCTGGAGCTTGGTGAGAGCTCCCCTCTGGGGGCGAGAAGCTGCCGTGGCCGAGGTCCCGCTCCCCTGTTCTGGGGAGTCACCGGGGTGCCGTAGGAGCTAACTCGGGTTTTTCCCCGCTTTGCGAAAGTGGTTCAGCCTTGTGTGTCACTTCGCTGGCATAAAACTCTTAATACTTGGATACTTTAAAACGGTATTTAACGTTAAAACTAGATAGATAGGGTTTTCTTTTTTCCGGTGAGATGTGTTTGCCCTCTTTTTAAAGGTAGAAGTAGTTCTTGAATTTAAATGAGGCCGGCATTGTTAGAAGTAGCATAAATTACAATCTCCGTAGTCAGTGTAATATTTGTCCTCGCCTCATTTAAAGTGCTATGAACTGTATATATTTTTTTTAGAAACTTTGATAGTAACATATATTTTATTTCTCATATGTTTGTTGCTAAGCTCAGTGGGATTTAACCTACTTGCCTTGCTGTGAATACACAGATGATGGTTTTATACTAGGACACGTATGAAAGAATATTCTTTACGGTTTGGATTGGTTTGAAAGAACTGCATATAAATTGCTGCTGTGAAATGGCTCTTCTGTATTTTATTTAGGAAAAATGTAATCCTAAAATTTTTTTTTTTTCTTTACAGGACCCTCCGATATGTTCCCGAAAGCTCCCAAGACAAAATTCTCTCTGATGAAGATGTCTTTGAAACACTAATGAAAATATTTAAAGCTCTGTTTATAAATGATTTCAGTAGACAAGCACATATTTTGGCCTTACTTCCAGAAATCAAATGTAAATACCTGGAATTACTGACTGTTGAGCAGAAGCGATCAAAAGTAAATTCATGTAACCATCAGAGTCAACATGTGTTTAGTCCAGAGGAAGTTCTGTTTAATACACTAGGGTTCAGTATTACTCGAGACCGAAGTTCACTGGTGTCTGCTGGAACTGGAGTCTTTGTTACCAAAGGTTTTGTACCGAAGGGGACGGTTGTATCTATGTATCCTGGTAATGGAATGTTCTTTTTCCCAGTTAAGTTACATGTGATTTCTAACCATCTAATTATAGAATGCCACAGTTCACTAATTTTTATTTTAAGGGTTGTGTTTCTGTCATTCCTTAACAAAATGGCAAGTTACGTTGAATGGGAGTATTTCTTTATAAACTGACCAGAGCTCTTTTGGAAATAAGCAAAACAATACTGGGAAGGGTAATTGTGTTGATTAAAAAAAATTTTTTTCAGTACTTAGTCTGACTGCTGGAAAAGTTGTTTCAGATTCTTTAAACACAAATGCATGGGAGCAATTTCAATTAGGTGAACAATACAGTTTAATTCTTTGGGGTTTCTGTTTTGGTTAAGGATCTGAAACATGAAGTTTTTGAGATGTCCACACAGATCAGCAAATGAGACTATGAACTTTTTCAAAGCACAAAAATACAAATTGGAGAATGAAAATAAAACCTTTTTTTAGTGCAAGTCCCTTCCATAAAGCACATTTGGAACATGAGCACTTCTGTGTTCCTCCTCCTCCTTTTTTGGAACCGTATTTGCTTATGTTTCCTAAAAAGATCTGTAATTCTGTCAGTATGGCCAAGCTAGGACCCTCCTG